TTTTTCTGTTTGTCATGTACTCATGTCTGATCTTTTATTTTTGCTGCTTGTTATTTATAAATTTCTGGCTCTTTTTATTAGACATTGATACTGTGACTGTATATGATTGATTAATGGATTCATTTGTAATTCTATATCCACAGCAATTTAACATATTTATACCTTAAAATGAAGCTTTGTATTAGTACTAAGTTTCCATCTCTTCTTATTTGTGTTCGGATTTACTTCAATTGTTTTGATATGCTATTCTGAAGCTAACACACTTTTCAGTAAAATTGTAACCAGGTGGCTAATCTATGGGTATGGCAGCTTTTGTGAAGCAATTTTGGTAGCAATGGTGCTTGGATTATGAGTTTTTCCATCTTTCAAAGCAATCTATTAGAGGAAAGCTAACTGCCTGTGCCCTGTTCGCTTGGCTGATTAGCCATGGCTGAAAGTACCGTTAGCTGATTTGTTGTGAGAGAAAAATACTATTCGTTGGCTGAAAAAAGTACGGCTTATAAGCCAAGATCGATTTCACTTGCCAGCAGAGATGGGCATGCGCGCATGTGTCTCGACACCCGCTTCTACTGCTTCAGTCGCTGTCGATGAACCAGACAATTCTCTGATACGTGCTGATGCTGCTTGCAGTTTGAACTCGCACAAACTAGCATTGTTGACTTTGCACAGCACGTTGGTTCTGAATAATGCCGCTAAAACTAGCCTCCTACTGGATTGCGGTGCTACTAGGTCCAACCAAATGAAGCTTAGCTACACCTGGAGTAGTTGATGTCAGTTGCATTTCTTTTAATTAGGCTTGTTATATGCACTCTCTACTTCGTTCTAGGGGAAGGGAGCATGTTTGACTTGGGAAGCAGCAGTTGTTTACTCGGCTGGATCAGCTGACTTCGATGTAGCTTGGGTCTAGAAGGTCAACAGGAATATTGTGTTGTGTTCCTCAAAGGCCCAGTTAACCGACAGAGCGGGGACTGATGATAATGAAGATTTAATAATAAACATATATAAGTTGTTCTGACGTCCTACATGCGTCATGATGAAAAATGTTGCCTAAAAAGTAAAAGCGCAAGAATTCTGTTAGATGGTGAGATAGCTTCAGATTGGCGTAGCAGTTAGCAAGCTGACCTGACTTGGAAAATGGTAGCTAGATCGGTGAGACACGTCGATCATGGAATGAGTATATTCAGAACTCGTGAGATGAAAACGAAGAGATATCATTCAGTTCAAGGACTGTCAGATAGAGACTCTCCTCATCAATCAACGTCTCTCAGGCTGCTGCAGCTTTTGGCGAAAGCTAAGGCGACCATCCTTTCCTGCGTCCAGCACCGACCAGCCGTGGTGAAAATGAACGGCTTAACGGCAGCCGCAGCCCGCAGCTGTACGGCGTCGTCTGGCAGCTATGATTACGAAGCAGTCACGAAAAAGCTAACCGCAGCCGCCGCCCGTCGCTTCGTATCGTCAGCACCGCCCGTAGTAGCGTACGTGCCGTCAGTCCGTCACTACTTTACATCCTGATGAATTCCTGATCCTGCAAGCAAGCGAGAGGTTCAGAGATGTTCAGATGGATGACCCAGAGCCGCAGTGAAACCGTCGTCGTCGTTAATTAGTTGTCGATCTCGGCATGGATGCATGAATCCGCCATTAGCAGCCTCTTGTTCCGTAGATGTGCGGTTCGATCGCGAGCCCCTATGGAAACCGCATAGATCCTTCTGTCCTCCCAACAATCCAGCTGGTGACGATAGATCCATCTATTGTGTGAATTTGATCATTTAGAAAGAAAGAATTCGCCATCCAATAATCCAGTCAGAAGTCAGAACAAACGAAATCTCTTGGTCCAAGCAAGCTTGTGCCGTTGGAGGAGGTTTTGAGCGTGTGCATGACGAGCTCGATCACGGCTGCGCGCGGGCGTAGCGCTGGGTTCAGTGCATGTGGTCAACTGGTCATGCAGCAAAATGGATTGTTTCGCTTTCTGGGTGACAAACATCCAGTGCCCCCAAGGAGCCCTCCCTCCATACAGTAGCAACTGATTTTTCCAAGTGCTGGAATTTTTTTGATGGCTGTAAATTGTTTCTTACGTCATTTTATTTCCCATTTTCATCCGTTTGGATGCGAGCAAAATGGGACCAGAGACAAATAGAGCGATCATACTGCTTGTTGAAGCGCAAGCCAATTTTGCACTGTACATATTTGTAAATAACACCCTTGTAGCAAGAACGCAGATTAGCATTTGAACATGCCTGGTGGTGTCCTTAAAATGGAATGGTTATAGCGTGTGGTGTGCAGCCAAATTACGACCGAAGCTCTTGGCCCATGGGGTTCTCGTTGCCTCTGGTGGTGATGACTTGGGACGTGACTCGTGAGGTTCTCGTTGGCGATCCTCGATAACACGAGAACTTAAGTACGCACAAGATAGAATAGGAAACAGAGTTGAGTTCTGTTATTATAAGCCAAATTTGATGCACGCAGGGGATACGACTGAGCCTTCCTGGCGGAGTGAATCAAATACAAGTAATATATAGGGAAGAGGAAGATGGGGGACGCGATCATCACCCAGCTCGAACCATTGAGACGCCCTAAGTGAACACCTCACCCTTCGTTTGAACTTATTAGCTATGATACAGTGTTTTCCTCTCACGATAAATTAGCCGACAGTACTTTTCAACATGTCTTTTCAGTGAAACAAACAAGGCCTCTGTCAGAGTGAAAACCAGCAAGTCTGGCTCCAGCCTCAGCATGTCAGAGTGAAAACCAGCAAGTCCGGCTCGTGAAAACCAGCACCTCAGCATAGGGCTCTTTTGGAAGTAAGGGGAGCAAAACCCAGGATAAAAAACCCCAACTAAGAATTAGAATGACAATTAGAATGATATCCCATAGATTACCTATCCAAAAAAAAGTCCGGAATTCTAGAGGGATTGGAGTTTTCAAATTAGGCCTCGGAGAGACAGGGGCCAGGTCCTCCCCCTTGGCCTGTGCAAGCTCATCAAGTGTCATAAAAAGTGTGTGAGCTGCTCTTAGTCCCGGCCTCCATACCTGTCTGTGGCCGCTGGGGGCAATGTGCTCATACGGCATTGTCATGTTCATTTGAACTTATCAGCCTGACTTATCAGCCATGGTATAATATTTTTCTCTCACAATAAATCGGCAACGTATCAGGTGCAAACCAACTAACCTGTGTAAACTTGAAACTACCAATCAGGACCACTAGATGCTGATCCAATGAATGATGTGAGAGGTGAGATTTTTTTGCGCTTAAGTCCCCCACCCGCCGTCCTTTTTTTGCGCTTAAGCCCCATCACCCCATCCATTGGATCAACATCCAGTGATCCTGATTGGTAGTTTTCAAGTTTGCACAGGTTGGTTGGTTTGTACATGATATGTTGCCCAATAAATCAGCGAACAATACTTTTTCACTGGCTTTTCAGCGAAGTGAAGAGGGCTAAGTCCTACAGTGGTAGAATGACTTCAAGTTCCCATAAAAAAAAAAAGAATGACTTCGAGTTTTTGCTTACCGATGGAAACAGTTCCATTAAGAAATTGCCATTTTTATTTGCAAAAGTAAATGTTATTTTCTCATAGAACTAAATTAATTAAAATTGTACTATGGGCATATGACTTTAGCAATTTAATCCTTCCATAAGATAAGATTTTGCAAAGTCATCCTGATGACTATGTCCATTACTCTATCCCAAAATAAACAACTTTCGGTAAAATTTCAGGTAGATTAAAGACGCTGGTAAATGACATATGTATTCTCATCTCTTTTCATTTTTCGGAAAAATATCTCCTAGATTTGGCAGTTATCATTTACATAGCTTTTGCATTAAAATCCCATGTTTTTGTACATTGTTTTGGCATGTCAAGCTCTATACAATAGGTCTTTTCATAGCTTCGAGGGCTGGGTCAGTCACAATTGACTTTCAAAAGGAATAGAAAGACGGGATGGCAAGTATAGGTAATTATAGTCAAGAAAGTAGAAGTAAATACCTACAAGAAGAAATGGTATTTTAGGTTGGATATATGCAAGAAAACAACTAGTAGAAATGCTAGGGTATATGGAAGGTAGACAGGATATGCCTATTTCAAAGTTACTAGGTAAAGTAATGTAAGGGATAAGTAACGTAAGAAGAGAGAGATAGTCAAAGTTGACATCTTGAAATCGACTCGCATGGGCCAAGTAAGTGCTTATAAAAGGAGGCTAAAGCATAAAACTATAATGAAAACTATAGGCATGTTGGATCATATATAGTCCTAGAACCTGGAAAATGAATCCGAGCGAGTGCCAATTCCCTTTATATCCTTTGAGTCTTTGAGATAAATTTTAAATCTTAGAAAGTTATTTATTTTGTGATGTAGGGAGTATGTTATTCGCGAGATTTTCTAGCTTTGCAAAAATATATTTAAAAAAATTGCATCCGCGCGTACGGGCCTTGCTGTGCTGGTCTGTGCCTGCGTGCTGACGCTGCACCCGTCGATGATCAGTTGTTTGGGCATGGTAATGGACGACAGCTCTGATACACGACAGCTGACATGCACTCACTGACATTGTGCAAATTCTACATTGCGCATGCTAACAGCCACCAACACATGCTGTCTTTCTGCTGCTTCAACCGCCATGGCAAAAAAATGTCAAGAGATAAACCAAACAAAGGGGCAGGAAGAGATAAAGCCAACTTGGAATATGTGTTGTAGTCTTGTAGACTTGTAGTGGCACACACTGTCAACTCGTCGAGCATCAGGAGCCGCAAAGCAACTGAACCGCATGGGTCTGGGTTCCACGTCATCCATGCAACGAAGATTTTCCTAGTACATCAGCTACTACGGCGGCTAGCCTAGCCCGGCATGAATGAGAACGACGAACGGCCCACTAGTTGCCGTTGCCGTTGCCGTTGCCGTCTCCTGGCAAGGAAGGCTGCACATCACAGACCGTTGCGCGCGGCAACAGTCTCAACTGAATCACATATACAGATCACATGCATGGTTTGTTCAGGACAAGTCCGGCAGCTTCAGACGGCATGCGTGCAGTCGCTCCCGTTCATCTCTGCAGATTTGCCGCTGACGACGCATCCGCTGTGCCCCCTGAGATTGACGACGTCGAGGCTGTAGAGTATGGGGATCATGACCATGGAGGACAGGAAGGCGAGGAGCGGGCCGAAGATCCAGAGCAGGAGGGGCACCCCGGCGTAGAAGAGCCTGTTGCCGACGAGGTTGAGTGTGAACCCGCGCTCCAGGACGTCGCCGACGTAGTCCCTGGTGTGCGGCAGCGGGAGGCCAGAGGCGGCGTCGGAGTCGGAGTCGGCGTCGGCGGAGGAGGAGAAGAGGCATCCCGAGGTGTTGATGAGGAAGCTGGCCTGGTTGAGGAAGCAGATGGCGAGGGAGTGGCAGAGGAAGGCGAAGAGGAAGAGCAGCATGAGCGCCACGTACTTGAGCGCCATCATGTACTCGCCGTGCGCGCCGAACACGGTGTCGCTCAGCGGCTTCTTGATGGTGTAGGTGCTGCTGAGCACCGCCGCCACGCCCGTGCAGAAGAGGATCGCCGTCGTCGCCATCAGCGTCGACCCCATGATCACGTTCCGCACCGACTGCACCACCGTCACCGCGTTCTTGGTGTTGTCCTGCATGCAGATTTAATTTCCCGCGAGAGCGAGCTAGCATCATCAGCCCAACCATGAAAGAAAGAAAATTCACAAACAATGCGCCGCGCCGCGCCGCATACGTAACGTAACGGTAGCGTAGCGTACCTTCATCATGCCGATGGCCCAGAGGCGGCGCGCTGCGGCGTTGATGCCGACGGCCGTGCGCAGCGGGCGGAGGCGGACCTCGCGCCACAGCCAGGCGTGGTACGCCATGGGGAGGAGCAGGCTGAGCGGGATGAGCACCAGGTCCAAGAAGCTGTCCCTCCACTCCATGATCCACCCAACGAGCAGAGCAAGCACGCAACGCACACAAGCAACGGAACGACGCTAGCTAGCTAGCTATAAGCAGAATGAATGCCAGGCTAAGCGTCGGATCAATTGGGGCAACGTTGCTTTCCGATCGATCAGGCGTCTGCTGGAGTTGTCTGTGTGCGGGCCGGGCGCTGATATATATAGAGCAGGAACGGCCGAATTCCACACACAGTCAGAGAGAGAGATACGGTGAATGAAGGAAGGATGCAGAGGTAGTGGCATCTTACACAAAGGCCACCAACTTTAGTAGCGAGCAATCAGTAGCTAAAAGTAGCAACACCAACGCAAAAACCCGGCCATGGGCAGAGTAGTAAGCTTTTTTTCTTCTTCTCTCTCTCTCTCTCTCTTTGAGAAAACCAGAGTACTGCTCCAGTAATCAGTGCAAAATCTGCGCCCGCCCGCCGGATGATAAGCAGGTAGACTGAACTAATGTCATCTCCTCGTCGCGTATGCGCCATGGAGCCATGGAGGCAGCATCGATGCTTGCCGTGCCGGGCCCCGGGCACACGGCCGGGTCGATCCGATCACGTGACCCTTTCTTCGTTCCGGACATCGTTGGTTTGGCTCGCAACCGAATGGGCGCACCATGTTTGGTTCCGTTTGGATTTTCTTTCAGCTCTCCTCTCATGTACGTTTCGCCTTTCCGTTCCTGGCACTGGCATCAGGTGATGTAACTAAGACCTGACATTGTGCTACGACTACGAGGGTGCTTGATTGCTTGGATTGAGGGGACTGCTCCGACGATATTTTTTTTCTTCTTCTCGGGTCATGTGGTTCAAATCTGAACTAAATATATATGGGCAATTCTTGCCTAGTACGTACCTTCGTCTCACTGTAAGAACAAAACAAAAAGATTCATTGAAGTGAAATGAAATGAAAAGGAGTGAAGCAGAGGAGAGCGCCTTTGTCACTTCACTTTAGCCACGATCGTTGGTTGGGGATTGGGACCCTAGTCGTCTTCCTACTTTGGTCGCGACCAAGACTTCCACGCCACGGTGGTCGCCCTGGGATCACTCGATCAGCTAGCTGCTGCCTCGCTTGTTGTCAGTCGTCACTAACTCCGATCCAACGCCTACCCGGAGCCTGCAGTGGGAGTGTGATGGACCAGGACCACGATCCTGCGATCCATCATGCATGTTCAAAGCCAGCGGCCAGGCCGAACCGGATGCCGGGATTCGGGAGAGATCCATATACGATATGATAGCTTTGCAAGTACGACGCGCGCATGCAGTTTGGAGTAGCAGACGGTGTGGGGCGCGCCTGCCGCTGTGTGTCCGTCCGGTCGTTTTTCATGCGTGTCTGTGTTGGCTGCCAATAGCCGGGGGCAGCTTCGTCACAACCCGGCAAGCTATTCCCAGTATTCTGGTATGCGAAAGCTATGTGTCATGTTACTGATAGAAATATAGGATCGTTAGGAGCAGATCTAGCGAGTGGAAACTTCACTAATCATGGCATAAACAAGTAGATTATCCTGGTACATGAACTAGAGAGGAGGAAGAGAGGGAAAGAGGGGTAGATGGGTCTGACCGTCCTGCTTGGAGGCGAATGAAGCCATGGAGTCGGTGGCGAGGTCGATGCCGGGGTGAGTGGCTCTGGTGAAGGCGCTGAGGTGCTCGTCCCGACGGCGTAGATCCAGTGGTGAGGGCGGTGGCGCTGGCAGCGGTGCTTCCCGTCGCTGTCAGCGCTGCTCTCTCGATCGGACTAGGGTTAGGATGTCGGTGGGGAGTTGACGGCTACGGTAAACCTCGTAGGCCAATTTAGTGGAGATCAACCTAACATTCTTCCCTTAGTCCCACCTTATGACTTAAACTTAAAATACTTATCTCTTTTTCCCATTCCATCACAGATTAATGCATATACCATGCCTCGTCACAACAGTTAGTACCATTGGATTAAAAGCTACAACACATCTCTCTGTTTTTAAATAGATTCTCAACTAGGCCCTTATTGTCTATGAATCATAGGCTTTTTCGTAAACCCATGCCGGCTAAGTGTTCTCTGAACACATTGGGTGGTAAGCCTTTTGTAAGCGAATCTGCAAGCATCTTCTTTATGCTTACATGCTCAAGACTAATAGCATGATCCCAGACTTCGTCTTCCACAACAAAGAACTTTATATCAATGTGTTTGGCAGCAGTACTTGACCTATTGTTGTGAGCATAAGTTACTGCTGGTTCATTGTCGCAGTATAACTTGAGTGGTCTATGGATGTCGTCAACCACTTTCAACCCAGGCATAAATTTCTTTAACCAGTTCATCTGTCCCGTGGCCTCATAACAAACTACAAACTCGACATACATCATGGACGATGCCATGACGGTTTGCTTGGAGCTTTTCCACGATATAGCTCCTCCTGCGAGAGTAAATACATACCCTGATGTGGATTTTCTATCATCTACATCTCCCACAAAATCTGAATCTGAATACCCCTCTAAATGTAGGGAATCAGATCTTCTATACGTTAACATGAGGCCTTTTGCGACTTGCACATAACGCAAAGCTTTCTTCACCATTCTCTAGTGTTCTATTCCTAGATTACTCTGATATCTGCCAAGTATCTCGGTAACAAAAGCTAAGTCAGTGTAACACCCTCGGTGTTACTGCTTAAACAACTTGCTAAACTATGTCATGAGCCTCATGTTTATGTGTCAATGCATGTGATAAAGTGTGTAGATCAATTTCCGTAACTCAAAACGATCAACAGAAATGCTAAACGAAAGTTGAATCAATAGTCATGTTATATCACTTAGGGTTTAAAACCAATTTTTATTAAGCAAAAATACTATAGAACATGTATGTGACACTTAAATAAAGTTGGAAGTAAAAACTTGGTAGATGACAATGCAACTTTAACTTTTAAAAAATAGATGTTGTTAACTAGTATTTTAGGAGCTCAAAAATCAAATCTAACGTTAAGATAAGCTCTTTTCGTTAAGTCGACAACATTTGAATTTATGTTTAAAGTATCATTTTTGGCGAATTATTTTGAGCAAAATAGTTAAATGGTGCTTAAATATTTTGCTTCTACGGGTTAGTATGAGGTATGGACTATTACATGAAGTATTGTTGGTTGAAGTTAACGAGGTTTAGACCTTTTAAAAATTAAGGCGAAAGTGCTAGGGAATGTTAGTTCTAACTGAACCATTGAATTCCCTAAGTCTGGAATGATAATAGACGATGCCATGTTGGCATTTCAATTCCAACAAAAATGATTGGTTGCGTCAAAGTGTGTACTTGAGCATGGTGAAAGTTATAGCCATGTTGGGTGTCATGTTGTACTCGTAAAAATTGCCCAAAACTCCTTAGAACGCGTGGTGGATCACGTTTCGGTGCTCTGTTCATGGACTGGCATCGGTGTGATGAGCTCATGTTGGCATGCTTCTATCCCCCTCTCTAGTCGCTCTCGGGATGTGAGATTTGCTTTGCTAGCTAGTGGATAGTGCCGGCTTCGGGTTAGAGTAATTGGTTGAACTTTAGTTGAGTTAATCGACAGTTTGGATTCGCTTTAAAACTCGTGCACTTCACCACTTACCCTTGTTTGACATGTGCCACGGTCATGGTCCGCGCGCGAGCGTTGCTGGTGCCGTGCTCCGACGGTGGCCGGGCCACTGCTGCTGGTCGGCTCGAGTATCAGTCGGTGCTTCGCGGCGCCCGTGTCCCGACGTTGGCAAGTTTCAGCTGGGCGTGGCCTGACTCCTGCTGCCGCTGTGCCGCTAGGCTGGGTCGAGGCAGCGACGGCGTCATTGGCTAATGTGGCACTTCTCGCACCCTCCGTTTGACCTACCGAGTCAAGCTCCAGGACATGCACCACTGTCGCCGCATTAAGGTCATAGTGGCGATGGCGACGCCTCTCTGCCGCGTTTGCCCTCGCTAGCCGACGCCTGTGAGCCCGCTCGGGCCTTGCTGCTCCAATTCAAGCACGTCGTGTCAAGCTCCTATGTCTCGTCGCCTGGGTGCACGTGCTCGGGGTGCCACTAGCGCTCGGAGCCACCGTCTTAAGCTGCTCGAGTTCACTCACGTACCCCCCCACGAAATAACCCGGCCAGAGTGCCGCGCCGCCGTCCATCGATTCACCTAGCTCAGGGCATTTACAGCTCGGATCTTTACACCTGTAAGTGACATAGGAAATCAATTAGGTGCTCCATCTTACTCATCCCCGGCCAAGCACTATGGACGGTCAATTTGGCGTCTTGATCGTCGTCGGTCGAGACGCCACCGTGAACTTGAACTGGGAAGAGATGTAGGATTGGAGCGATAGAAGTTCGATTGTTTGAGACCATAAACTCGCATTGACCCCCTCCACTTGGTGATCATGCTGTTTTGTCCAGGAGGCTCACCATTGGCGCGGTGACGCGCCGGTCCCCCGCTTGGCATGTCGCCGTGAGGTGCGGGCGCACATGGCCAGCGCTGTGCGGGCCATCTTCGACTTAACCATCACCTCGATCATGTTCGTTGTAAGCTGTTGATGCTCAATCACCGCCCTTTTAGTCCGTTAGTGGCTCTAGCTTGCTAGAATGCTCGCGCCACCGTGGTGGTTGGTCCACCATCGTGAGCAGCACAATAGAAGTCACCATTAGGCTCACAATCATCACCTAGGAATGCGCGCTTAGTGGTAGGCAGAGGTCAGCTCCTTTATCCCCGTCGTAGCGAGCTTCGTGTGCTCAACGCAGCCGCCCATGCCACTGGTCGCCATGCCGACGAACACGAGGTAGAGCAGGGGTCTCCGCGTGGTGAAGGCGGCATTTTCCAGGGTCCTTAGTGCAAAGCTCTTCTCTGGTGTCATATTGTTACGTAACATCGCGCGATATTCTGTGAAGCTAGGGGTTCTTCTACAAATGTGTGGGTGCGCGCGTGGGTTTCCTGTCGCGGGGCGCTTGTTGGGCTGGCCTGCTACGCGCACGGCCATTTTCGCGCGAGCCGCCTGGGCTGTTGGACCAAATTAGTTGCCGCCGGCCCTTTTC